GCCTACCAGACTGCTCGGGACCTCCTAGCCAGAAGATACGCCAACGTCCGACGAATTGCGGACGAACATGTTAAGCAGCTTCTAAGCCTCCCGCTGCTTAGTGACCGGGCCAGACTACGTCCGGACCTGTTGGATCCAGTCTTGGTGGCCTGTAATGCGTTGAGGCGGCTGGAATTACCAGTGGGCGAATAGGCTTTTTTGTTGCTCCGCATCGTGCTGTCCAGTCTACCTCTCGACCTTCGAATCCATTTTGAGGAGAGGTACGGCGGGAACGAGGCCTCCTATATTCCGCCCTTCTATGACCTGCTGCGGTTTTTGGAGGAGCAGTGCCGGCAGATCGAGAACGCGGCGGGCACCGTTGACGACTTACGAGACGTGCCCAGTGAGAGGCTGAACCCGCCAGGCAAGTCGTCGTCAACCCCCCCCCCCCCCCCCCTGCTCCTATTGTCGAGCATCTGATCACCGGGTAACGTCGTGCCCGAAATTATTAGGTAAGCCGGTTCCAGCGAGGCGAACTATCGCCAAAGAGCGCCGCTGGTGCTGTTCATGTCTGGGAGGGCACCTCCAGCGAGACTGTCTGCATCGACGGCTCTGTCTGCATTGCCAGGGCAATCACCATGCAGTTTTGTGCCTGGGTGCGAACGGCGTCTCCTCTCGGGGCTCTGCCGGGCCCTCGACCCCCACGGGCGGGGGCGCTCAGCCACGCCCTCTGCCGGGCGACAATCGGCGCCCGCCGGCCAGCCACCAGGCCCCTAAGTTTGAAAGGGGCCCCTCCCCCGACCAGTCGGGGGGTAATTCCCCCAGGGGCGGGGGTGTCATCACCCCCCCCTCAGCGTGTGGAGAGGAACTTCACGGCCACTCATCGGTCCGCTGGACCCTTCTCACTCCCGTTAGCTGAGTGGCCGCGACTGGTGTACCACTGTTCCCCATTTGATGGAGGCGGCCCTGTCTAGCTGCCGCCTTAGCTCCCACCACGGCCGCCTCCACTGAGCCTTAAGCCGTCAACAGTCCATTTGTCAAAATGTTCTGTTGCCGACGGCCTCAGTGAAGGCGTACAACCCGAGTGGCGACTGTTAGCATTTGTGCTCTATTGATCTCGGGTTCACGCCATGTGGCCTCCCCTTGGTGGTGGGAAGATTAGGGCCCCCCTGGAGCGTTGAATCACGCTGTCAAGGGGTATTAGATTTGGTTTGGTCGAGCACTTAGTCAAAAAATACTTTGAATTAAAATTAAAAAATGCTTTGGGCTTTCCGCGAAATTTTCTAATTTGTAGCGGTTTAAATTAAAAGAATTGAATTTAATCTACTCCTTTAAATGCTACTGCATGTGTTTTGTAAATATATTTAATCACTGTATTTGATTGTTGCGTCTGTTTGCTGAAAGGAAAATTTGAATTCATGTGAAATTGAATGGCGCGCTATTTGAAAAATTATGTATATGTTTATGATAGTGTTTAATCATTTTGCTTTGCGAAGAAGTAGGGCTGTCCCTTACGTTATTGTTTTGTTTAATTTGCAAGTTGACCTATGCGCATCGGTGATTAATTGGGTTGAATTAATTCTGTAGTTGAACATTGATGGTTTTGAAAAATTAGTTGAAATATGAGCATAGGACTACTTGTCTAACAGGCTAGCTAGTTTGGAGATTATCAGATTGAAATCAGCTGCCGCACTATTTTAGTAAATGATAATATGGTGGGTGGCCTGGTTAGGCCTACTTGTTGAAAATTCATACTAGGGACTATCTGTGCGTTTCGTTCGGCTCTCCACAAACGACGTTCATGTGGAATTTGTGGGTGCTCTCTGCACTGAAGCTTAGGAGGCCGCTCGGGGCCGCTTCGTGTCGCGTCGCTGTTTACAGACCTGATCCGGTCGGATTGCGGAACTAATCGTAGGGGCACAGATAGTTGTTGAAAGAGGTCGTCGGACTTCTGTCCAGAATAGGACTTATTTATGGGCTGCGATGTGCAGGGAGGGCATCCAGTTCAACCCTCCGGCTTGCCCACGTTGGGGCGGTAATTTTGAGGCGTTGGTTAGGGTTGCAAGATCTGATGGGGTGCCTAAGGTGGCATAGTTTGGTTGTAGATTCGGTCTTGCAACTTGCCGTCGCGACCTTGTCCCGCTGACCGGTTTGCTCGCGGACCTAAATCCTTATGTCCGGGACGGGGGTTTGTTCGCGCCAAGCGCTAGTTTCAAGGATTGACGCGAGAGGGCGCTCGGCGCGGTGCATTCATACCGGTTTGACTTTCGGCCGTGCGAAAAACGCCCAAGGGCAGTCAGTCGCCTTTAGGCAGTGCTAACGATTGGCACGCTGTCATTTTGTCGGGAACTCGGAATAATTCGGCGCGGCCAGTAAATATACGGTCTACCATTGTGACGCGCATTCCTGCTGGAGAGCTTCCCAGGGACTCATTGTGTTTGACTCAGAATCTGCATAAGTGCATTCGGCAATATAAGCTAGTGCGGCCTCTGATATTCTGGAACTAACTGTTGCAACGCGAAACGGTAGTGACCATTGACCCAGAAACTCCGTGTGCGTTTTGTGCGGTAACCTTATACTCAGCGATAGTTAGTGGCTTCTGTAAGTTAGTAAATCGTACGATAGAGTTAATTGACTGTCATCGTGACGAACGAGGAATGTGACTGTGGTCCGGCGCTGAAGCAGTCTGAAGCGGTGCAGCATTTTGGAGCAGCCTGGAACTCGGCAGCGGCTGGTCGCCTATGCTTGACAAGGCCCCACACATTCACACCTCACTGTACACTACTCGCCATCCACTATTACACACACTCACGGCCTGCCCAAGCCTTGGTGCGAAGTTAGCTTCGGATAATGGTAAGTACTATGTCTTTCTAGCGTCCTCCCATCTGGTTTATTGTAATTAGGAATTTCCACGTGGCCATATTCTGGCCCCGTCCCTCTGCTGCTCGTCGATGGGATTACTCATGGGCCCTAATCCCGTCAGCCTTGGTTGGGGCAGCTAGGGGCGAGTACAAATATTTTATGACCGCCGTTACAAGTTTATTTTAATGAATTGTCAAATGTGACCTATTAAAGTGGCCCTACTTTGGGCATGCTTCCTTGCATAAATCTATATTACGAAGAATTTAACAGCCATGTTATTAAGTCATTAATAATTTGTTAACTTATAACTCTTAATACTCGTACTATTTATAACTGTCCGCCTTTCCTCACCCACAATACATAAAAGGACTGTTAGTTACAATAACTACTGTGACTGACCACAAAGGGATAATACGAATACTATGCATCGTAAAATTAAAATGCGTGTAGAATTACACTTATTTCTTCATTACAAAATATCTTAACGTACTTAACTTGATATATTATGCTGGTTAAAAAATAATCTAAAAATATACTCCTATAAAAGAGATTTTGGAACGAAGTTCCTTAACGGACGGTACGATTTTGGCGGATGGGGACTAGTCTAGAAAAAAATTAAGATTGTTCCGTCCCGACCCCTTTTGACGTAGTGTTATAAGGTTTTGGCTATTAAGGCTTTGGCGGTTATAAGGAAGCGAGATGGAATAATATTATGCATCTCCTTCGCACTTTTTCTTATCTTGCCATGAAAGGAATATTATTTTATTTTAAACTAGCTGTGCCCCACGGTTTCACCCGCATCACCACGTGTCCGAGGTGCGCGACATGACCTAGTTTAAGCATTTTATAACGTAGGGTTTAAGCGTCGTTCGCGCGCCCAGTCAAGTATTGAATTATTTTAATTTTACATTATCTCTTAAACTATGCGTCCAAATAACATGAATAGAATAGAATAGAATGATTTTTATTCAATATGGATTATTACATAATACTTATTGAAAGTCATTATTTTATTTATTTACCACTGGTTCGGAAAATACCTCTGTCCTGGGAAGAACCAGCAAGAAACCCAGCGGGACTTTTTTAGTATGGTATAAAGAACAAAGTTTATCTTCATAAAATTGTCTAGATGATGAAGTAACTTTCGTTTGTAAGGATAAATAGGCCATGCCTAATAATAACGCTCATAAATCGCTTTTAAATTTTCAATATTTTTTTGTCACAAAATACCAAATTATGGCTTATGTATAAGAAATATACATATGGTATCGCGGACTTTTTTTTAGACGGAGTAAAGGTCTATATTTTTCTAGAACATTGTATTTATGTAACCCTAACGATAACACCAGCGTACGCGGATAAATCATTTCGGGAGTGCTTTATCTTCTCACTTGCTTAACAAATATCCATATTTAAGGCTAGCTGAGTACGAGTAATATAGCTTAATGCTAGATAGCCTATACTATTCCACATGAATCTGGCTATAATATACAAAAAGAATTTTTCTAATCGGACTGGTAGTTCCAGAGATTAGCGCGTTTAAACACACAAAAAAACAAAAAAAAAAACTCTTCCGCTTTATTATATTATATAAAGTATAGATGACGTTTCATTTTAATAGACGCTAGGTAATTCATTTATTTGTATTTGTTAATCAATAATATAATACGTTTATCAATAATAATATACTACGATATAATATAATAATATATAATAAATAGTATATAATAGAAATAATCTATAATAGAATAATAATATATAATATATAATAGAGAAATAATATATAATAGAATAATAACTTCGTTCCGACCGAGTGTTCCACGACTCTCAAGCATGGTTTTTTATTTCATGCGCGAAATTCCTCAAGGAGAACATTAAAGTACAATGTACTTAGTACGTAGTACATATTACTACAATGAAGGAGAGGTAGAAATAGGTCAGCGGGTCTAAAGGCAATCCAGCATATTTTTTTATTAAATCGATGAAACCAATTTCGACGAATGTTTTATTTTGTTTGTAATCTTTGTAACCATTGAGTACTAACAGTAGAGCTTGTATCGACCAAACTTCTTATTATTTTGTTACCATAGCTTTGAGTGTGATAAATTTGTTTACAATTTAGTATAATTACGTTTTCATTCAATAGTGTAAGTAAAATAATGGATTCATCCATCCCAATTTTTGAAAAACCCCACCCTAAACTCAGTGTGCTAGACTGGACACGAAATATTCAGCGACTTCAAAACGAAGCTAGGCTGCGCAGATTTGAATCATACGAACTGAGACAAAGGGCTAACCAACTTCGTAATGAAACATCCATTACAACTTATTGGGATAACTATACTAACAACGAGTTATTAAGAGACAGGTAAGTTTATTCGACTTCATAAATAATTTGACTGAAACTAGTTGTTCATCTGTGGTCGACTCATTAACTACTGCCTGCCGTCTGAAGCTCTGCCAACTAACCGACTGGCCCACTAGACGACTTTCTTAATAGAATATGGATGACAAACGAGCACACAGTCCAAACATAGGTAAATGGATGATGTGACCCATAGCCATCTACATCTATCCTCGATTTAGAATAAAAATTCATTATGCGTAAGTCTCGTTTCTATTGAGCTATATTACTGGTATAGTTGTAGCACGAATTAATCGGTAGATTCTATAAAAATTGTAAGTCAAAATGTACCCACCGCAGTTACGAGAAAATCTAACCTTTTATATTTAATATTTTAATCTTATCTATTAATGACAATCGACAGCGACATACTTAAAATAAAATTGTAAACCATTAAACTTTAATAATTGTTATCATTGCATTATAGAATATTTGATGTTCAGTCATGGCGAGAGAAACAAAGGTTCACACGAGAATGTGTACGGGATGAGATACGAATTTTGAAAGAAGAGAAAAACGCTACAGAGTTACACTTAGAGTCTTTGCAGCTGCCACTGATGGTAGTGTCGCAATGTATTTCAAATAGGGACCAGAGAGTTCCCCCGGAACTGACAAGAGATCAACTTGGCGAAGAACTGAATAAGGTATAGTTACGAGTATTATTTATCAGATCCCCTAAATCCACTGTTGTATATAAGTCGAATTAAAGATTTTCTAACTGGTTGGCGTTTCCAAATATATAATATATCGTTATTTGTCGGTCGCTAAACTTTCGCCTCCCTGACCGAGGCTTAACTTTTCTTTATAGTATAAGGGTGACAAACGAGCATCTAGTCCACCTGATGGTAAGTGGATGCTATGACCCATAGATATCTACGTCACCCCTGAGAACTAAGATGAGATGCCTCGTTACCAGTAAAAAATATCTACGATTCTCTACACTCACTCCACAAAATACAGATGCATTATTCTGCTATTCCACCCTGGTATTCAGCTGTGTCTCGCCAGCAACGCGAAGTCAGAAATTTGCATTTAGAAAAAGCCAAAATTAGAGGCTTTTTAGGTGCTAATTAGGTGCCAAGTTTAAAAATTAGGTGCTTTAAAATTTTCACCGCAACAAACTGTTGAATTTGGCGTTGCTGGCAGCGCAATGACGTTAGTAGATATACGATAAAATATTAATAACAAGGAATTAAGTGCTGCAAGTATAGGATATGACAAGGCGTCTCTAATAAAAAATATAATAGTTCAGCTACTGCTTTTTATAGGCTGTAATGGATGGACGAAATTAATGCGCGTAAAACAAAAGGCATCTATGAGGCCATAATACTATAGTTGTAGTAATTAATTTTGTGTTGAACAAGTACAGGCTATACCTTTATCTGGTGTTTGAATCTACATCTAATGACGTCACGTCACGCAATTCATCCATTCATTGCATAGTAACATGCATTTTCATCATCATCATTAGTCCGTAAAGTCCAATGGTCGTGAATCTCTTCCGTTATAATGGGGATATTATGCCTCGTCACTCGTTTACAGAAGGATTGATCTTAGTACCAAACGTTTACAATCTCTGACCCTGCTCCCAGTCATCGATATTGGTTATTTTTACTTGGCGTAAAGACGTGATTATACCGCCATGAATGGCCCGAGCCAGGCATGAGGTTTCGTCTTTGTTCACCGCGAGTGACCAAGCCACGGCTACTAAGCCCCTATAAGGACGAGAGAAATGAAACGCTTGAGTGTTGACGTAAGACTGTCTGTAATTACGTTATTAATAAGTTTATATATAAGATTATACCCAAACGTACGTATAGGTACCTACTAGGTAGATACTACACCTTCCTTCCCAAAGAAAAAAAGAAATGAATATGTGCATTTCTTTTTTTTGTTTTATAATACTAACATTTAAAATTACACAATAATTATATTCTAATTTTTAAAATGTAAACATGGGTAAAAGCATAAACAAATAGTTACAAAATATTTAGATTAATATGATTACAATTGGTATTATAATACTTAATATTAAGGTAAAGTAATAATAATTAATAAAACTTAATACACTAATTTATTATAATTATAATCGATTAAGTACACAATGTCTGTAATGTAGGTATTACTTATGAACTATAATATTATTACAATATTATATATGTAATATTATAATAAATTTACTACATTTATTTTAAGGATAATACAACTTAGTTCGGTTTTTGTGAACAATGTAATTTTTGCCATTTTTTAGTATTTCAACATTCGGTGAGCAATCTCTAATTACTAAATATGGACCTGAATAAATGGCGCTGAGTTTGTTACCAGTTTCTTCTTTAATTAATATCAAATCATTAATTTTATATGTTATAGCGTTCATTTTACAATCATATTTGGATTTCCTAACAATTTTACTATTGATTAAATTTTCTCTTGCTTCCTTTTGGGAGGTTTGTAGGCGATATTTTAACTCTAACGGATAATCTTCGTAATTATAGAGGGGTTCTACGGTTTTAGTTAAATTACTGGGTAAATTACATTTTTTGCCATAAACTAACTCGAACGGGGTATACTTAGTTTCGCGGTGAACGGAAGTATTATATGAAAAGCACCAAAAAGGTATCCAAGAACTCCAAGATTCGGGGTGATTGTCTGTCTGTATACGTAAAAATGCTGCTAAACTCTTGTGGGAATTTTCAAGTGCACCAATACTCTCGTGATGGTAGGCTGTGGAATTTAATTTATTAATTTTTAATAAACTACATACCTCTTTCATAACTGTGGACATAAACTCGGTACCTCGATCTGTGGCTATCTCCTTCGGTATTCCATGGCGAAGAATGAAATTGTTTACAAAAGCCTGTGCAACTTCTACAGAACTCTTAGAAACTAACGGATATGCCTCTACGTATTTAGACATCTCACATTGGAGTGTTAATATATATGAATAATTATAACTATCTCTATCTAGAGGTCCTACGATATCTAAGAAAATTTTCTCGAAGGGAGTTTGAGCTGTAGACGTTACAGTCATAGGCTCCCTAACGGAAACGGAATGCTTTTGTTTCTGGCATTTGTCGCACCGTCTTACAAATGCTGTTATGTCTCTTTCAATACCTGGCCAAAAGTAATATTTTTTAATGTTATTCAACATCCTCTTGATACCCACGTGGCCACTAGTGGGGAGGAGATGAAAGTCATTCAATATCACTCTTTGGTCGTCTTTGTCATAGATTATTTCAATTTCTTTTAAAATAATAATTCTTGGTCCGGACCAATTTTTAATACTCTTAATCTCATTTAATACTTGCTCTATAAATTTATCATTTTCTTTACATTTCATGAAGTATACTTCGTTAATATTTATTTTCTTACAAAAATCAGACAGCTCCCTCACAAATTCGCCTCGCGATAATTGTGATCGGATAGCTGGATTTATATAAATAGTCATTTTCTTTAAAACATATATAAAAGTTCGAGATTCGCATGCGATTTCATTGTTCTTTCGTAATTTTTCTAAATCACTTTTATCAATAAATCTTAATTCTATCGATATCTTTGGTTTGTTATGTACCTCTACGACTCTTGGGTGATCAAGCCAATTGTCAGTATTCACAATATCATGCAAAGAATCACAGTTCTTCCGTGTCATACTACACTTCTCTTCCATTTTTTTTGAGCTCTTGTCATTATATTCACACTACACTCACTCATATCTTTCAAGTATTTCGATGTAATACGTATTCTAGATAAAGCATCTGCAGCGGCATTTTCACTTCCTCTTACATACTCTACTATATAGTCGTATTCTTCTAAGGCAAGCCTAAATTTCAATAATCTACTTGACGGGTCTTTCATGTTAAAGAGATAAATAAGGGGTTTGTGGTCAGTGTAAATTTTGAAAGAACGGCCATATAAATAAGGTCTAAAGTACTTGACAGCCCAAACGACCGACAGTAATTCTTTTTCGATTGTAGGGTAATTCTTTTCTGCTCTATTTAGGGTTCGGCTAGCATATGCTATAGGCTTTCCATTTTTATTGGATAGTACGGCACCTATAGCATAACCGGATGCATCAGTCTGAACTATAAATTGGTTATTTTCAGAGAAATCTGGGTATTGAAGTAATGGGGGTGACATCATATCTTGTTGTAATGCATTGAATGAACGTTGACGACACTCATCACTCCAATAAAATTGTACATTTTTACGACATAATCTGTTCAAATGGAAAGCTTTCTCTGCAAAATTTGGAATAAATTTACGATAGAAGTTTGCGAAGGCTACAAAGCGTTTTATTTCGTCTGTATTAGTAGGAATAGGGTAATTTTGTATAACTTTGATTTTTTCAGGATCCGGTAAAACACCATCTCCAGATACAACATGACCCAAATACAATAATTCTTTTTTTAAAAATGTACATTTGTCGGGATTTAACTTTAAATTTACTTGTTTTAATCGCTCAAATACTTCAGTCAAGTTTTTATTATGGTCGGCTAAATTTCTTCCAAAAATTATAATGTCGTCAAGATAAATAAAACATTTTTCAAAAGTTAAGCCCGCCATAGCCATATTCATCATCCTAGAGAACGAATTGGGACTGGTTTTTAGGCCCATTGGCATTCTGGTCATCTGGTATTGCCCAGAACAGAATGCTGTGTACTTACGACTATTTGGTTCTAATTCCACATTATAGAAACCCTGATTTAAATCTAAATGTGTATAGTATATACAACCTGAAAGAGAGTCGAGTATTTCTGTAACATTGGGCAGAGGAAACTTATCATCTACTATTGAATTATTTAATTTACGATAGTCTATTACTAATCTCCATTTCTTATCATTACATTCCGATTTTTTAGGAACTAAGAGAATAGGGCTTGACCATTCGCTCTTACAAGGCTCAATAATCCCTTGATTTAACATTTTATCCAATTGCTTTTTAATTTCTACCTTTTGAGAATGTGGTAATCTGTATGGTTTTACATAAATTGGGTCTACGTTGGGTTTTAAAGTGATTGTATGTTTATAGATATCTGTCATAGTTAAGCTGTCTCCTGGTAAATAAAATATGTCACAGTATTTTGCACATATGTTTTCGATTGAAACCTGTTCTTCCCCATTTAGATATTCCTGTAATTTTAAAATAGAAAATAATTTCTTTACGCGTTCTGCATTTTTATTCGATTCTCCAAACATACACATATAGTACTCACTCGCTCTATGAATGCTAGGGCTAATGTCGCTCAAACAAAAATCTCTATCAGTTGTATTTATTATTCGAATAGGTATTTTTCCTCTAACTGGACTCGCTAACGTGCTGGCTACGTAAACACCCTCCGCTAACTCTTTCGAACATACCACACAATCATCTTTCATATCAGTATTTATAAAATGTATAGATTCCGTTCGCGATGGAATATGCAAAAAGTCATTATTAGTATTACTAAACGTAGGTAAATAAATTCGTTCATTATTGGAATTAATCAATTAAAAGTAATTGTTTTCATAATCTATTATCGCTGCAAACTTTTTGCAAAAGTCATCACCAATTATAGCAGTAGCTTTAGTAGGTAGAGTATCAAATACAAAGAATTTATGTTGAAAGGATCCTTGGGGCACTTTCAATTCGAGAAACACATATCCAATTGCCTCAACACTACCTCCGATACCGCTAAACACACATTTCTCTTTATGGAATGGAATGTTGTAAGTGTAAACAAGTTTAAGCTCTAGCGCAGAAATTGATGCGCCGGTGTCAATTAAACAATGCAAAGTAAAACAATCGTTAAATGTAAATTCAACAAAACGTGAATCATTATTACATGAAAACATATGACCTTTAATCTCGAAAAAATTGATTATTATTATTATTAGCAGAGGTGGGTTGAGATTGTAAATTATTTTGGTCAATGAAGTTTACGTAACTTTGGTTTTGCCCTGCTTTTAAATTAATATTATTTTTCATACCTCTACTATTCTGGTATGGGCGGGAATTACCTCGCCAATGTCTACCTCGTTGGTTGCCACGCCACATTGGTGGTTGTTGGCCTCTGCTCACTACAACGCCGCGCTGTAGGTGGGCACTGTACGATCCATATTGATGACCACGGTGATTATAACGTCCCCTGGAATTGCGAAAATAGGAATTCTTTTTATTTATGGTCATAAAATTGGGATTAGCAGTGGTTGGTGGCTCCTCATCTAATGCTGATTGAATTGCGTCTTTTAAAGATAGAAAGTTACGTGCTGTAATTATAGTTCCGGTTCTGCGATTCCGTAGCCCGTCAGCAAATTGCTTGATTGCTTGCCTTTCATTTAAGGGCTTAAGCACCTTAAATGCTTCCGGGTTGTTGTCTGCTTGTGAAATTGTTAAATCAACAAACATTTGAGTAATTTGCTTACCGTATTCCTCAATGGTCAGCTCATTCTGCTTGAAGTACAGCAACCGTGATTGGATGGCCGTAGCGGATTTTTTCGGCAAAAGCTCTTTTTTCATATCAGTAATTAAATCTGAAATACTGGAATAGCTTGGGTGTAATTTAAGTTTCGCTGATTCCGATAAGCGATTTTTCAAAACAAAATTTATTAATTGGGGCTTAGAATCGACAGTAAGGGAGGTTTCATAATATTCTACTGAATCTATTAATTGTTTAGTTACAGATTCATCATCATTCATAACTGGTAATAAACTCAGGGCGACTTTTAAATCGAATTTATCCATGTTTAAGGTTGGTATAGTTTGGCCTAAATTACTTATAAGTTCACTTTCTTTCGACTCAGATGGTGTACTTGAAGAATATTTTACAATATCTTTATATAATGAAAGAAATTTCTGTGAATAGTCGACTATCAACTTACTATCACTAGCGCTAATATTACCACAGCTTAGTTCATTTTGCAAATAAGAATTTAATGTTAAATATTGGCTATACAAATTATTTGCTTCACTTAACTTAACAACGTAAATATTACCTTTTCTACGCTCAGGACCAATTTTTCTTAAATATTCTTTAATTATTTTTAGCTCTTGACACAATACTTTTAAATCATCTGCCATAACTCAACAAAATATGCATATGATTAAAATTCATTATTACTAATTTTTTTTTTTAATTTTAAGTTATACAAATATAATATTTTATACTTAATATTAAATAGTTGTTACGTAAGCTACATATAGACTCAAATACCTATCAAAGTCCATCTCTCCATTACGTTCCTTACAAAAGCATGTTTTGCATTCCGGAGTCAGGTTGCTCGGGTTACATCACTTACAATACATTACTTTCTTAGAATATTAATAACTTTTTCGTACAACGTAAATTAGGAATCACTTGAAATTATGTTTCTTGATCAATAACAGCTGTAGAACCAGGTAAGGTAGCCCGTTGACGTCTGAATGATCCACGGAGTATATACTGATGTATCCCCTGCTGGACCCAGCGGTGGTGCATTTTTCGGTATACTCTCCATATAATATAGAGGATGAAAAGAGCCATCAATAGCAATATTACCAGTAGTAGAATATTTGTAGTGGACGCGTGAAATTTTAACTCCTTTATATATGCGTTATTTTCTGCAGCCGCAGCATTTTGGTTTATAAAAATGTCCTCCTTTTCTACTTTAGAGTTACACATATTTTAAAGCGCGAACAAAAGCAACACCATAATTTTGTTGTTTTTTTTTTTTGCACATCGAACACACGGGTCGGTATCAAACTAAGTCATCTCGCGTTACTGATGCGCCCGCTGGCAGGGTCGCCATATAAGGACGAGAGAAATGAAACGCTTGAGTGTTGACGTAAGACTGCCTGTAATTACGTTATTAATAAGTTTATATATAAGATTATACCCAAACGTACGTATAGGTACTAGGTAGATACTACACCCCCGCCATGACAAGGCTATGGAACCCGTTCGGTGTGAGTGGCTTAAACTTACTTAGTTTGTGCAATAAAATGCCTCCTTCCACGCGTCACGCACTGCCGCCACTGATTTTGTTCGCGGTGTCTGTTCTAGTAAGTTGTATCTACATTTTTTTATAGGAGAGGGTGCAAATGAGCATGCGGCTCACCTGATGGTAAGTGACTACCGCCGCCCATGAACAACTGCAACACCAGGTGAACCAGGGGAATTGCAGATGCGTTGCCGGGCTTTTGAAAAGGAGTAGGCTCTTTTCTTGAAGGTCCCTAAGTCGTATCGGTCCGGAAAAATCGCTGATGGTAATCGATTCCACAAGGAAGTTCTACGAGGAAGAAAACATCTTCTAAATCGCACAGTGGTGGACCGCCAATCGTCCAGATGGTATGGATGGGAAATAACGTTATATTGTTATGAAATTATTTATTTTTTATGCCTTGACTGTTTTACAAGGTACTATTTATACTATATTATTTACTCTAAATCCTCGTTTACTTTTGGCCACTGCGGTGAGTTTTTTTTCTACTGGGCTTTATAGAAAAGAATACTTTTTGATGAGATAGATTCGTCAACGTTTTTTCCTTTACAGCCTACTACCTATATATGATGCATGATGGCATACCCCAAGAACTGCTATAAAACACGGTTGTTATTTCCTGCAAATTCAACCGTGTTTTATAGCAGTTCTTTTATTATAGTATATTTTTTTTATAGGAGAGGGGGCAAACGAGCATGCGGCTCACCTGATGGTAAGTGACTACCGCCGCCCATGAACAACTGCAACACCAGGGGAATCGCAGATGCGTTGCCGGCCTTTTAAAAAGGAGTACGCTCTTTTCTTGAAGGTCCCTAAGTCGTATCGGTCCGGAAAAATCACTGATGGTAGGTAATCGATTCCACAAGGAAGTTCTACGAGGAAGAAAACATCTTCTAAATCGCACAGTGGTGGACCGCCAATCGCCCAGATGGTATGGATGGTATCGGGAGTTCTGCCGCAATGTGCGTTCGTGAAATTTGGCCGCTGGGATTAATTCGAACAATTTCTGAGAGCACTCCCCGCGGTAAATGCGAAAGAAAATGCAAAGGGATGCAACATCTCTTCGCAGTGAAATGAATCGAGCCGATCCAAAAGGACATATAAGTTTTTGTCTACCTCGTTCGTCTAGCGGTCGTAAACGAGACTGCTAATCATGATGTCCCGGGTTCGAATCCCGGTTCGAGCTAGTAATAATCAGTTATTGAGTTTTTCTGTCAAGAAATTTTCAGTAGCAGCCCAGAGTCAGGAACTTGGTGGTATTTCACTCCCGTGCCTTGGAAAGCACGTAAAGCCGTTGGTCCTGCACCCGATCTCTTTATGGTCGTGTCGGCTTGCCATTCCATAGCACTGTGAGACTTAAGGAATAGAGAGTGCACCTGCATACACTCGAGCACTATAATCCTGTCCCGCGCAAATGGCTAGTCGTCGTTGAGACTGGTCGTCGTGAACGAAATTCGGTCTGGAGGATATTATTGGTTCGATTTCCCATAGTCAACACTTATGACATACACGGGATGAAATCCTAGTGATGGATTATCTTACGCCCCCAACAAACAGTACCAGTCTATTAGAACAATTGTATTTCTATTTCATTTACTTAAGTACAAAACAGTTTGGCGAAAGTAATTTAAGATACAGCCTATATTTTTTTATGCAATGAAAAATTCAAACTTAAACTTCAGGAACTCCATATTATAGAGAACAGTAAACGCGTCTTAACAGATCTTTGCCGCATGGGCTGGGAGAAGATTAAAGAATTGCAAAACGTGTACTGTAGACTGGATAGGGAGATACAAAACAAGGATGAAACGCTGAATTTGGAATATTACGTCAAAGACTTGAATAGAGAAAGTTCTAATATTTCCTATCAGTTGGACCCCACGAGAATCCCTGCAGAGTAAGTCAGCGTTTCTTATTGTTTGTTTTAAATTACTACAAATAAAAATTATTCTTATTTGTAGTAATTTAAAGGTAGGTCTTAACCTATGTCATAAAATCTCTAATTTTATTTTGTACATTTTGAATATTGCTCTTTTTTAGATCAATGACAGAAGAAAGTTATGTACACTGCATAGAGAACACAATAAAAATTGCCAACCAACTGATGGAAGAGTCCAAAGCCCTGAGGGAGTCTATGTTTAAAAGTCGGGAACAGGCAAGGAACCAGATGTACGCACAATCACAAGAAGTGGAGATGATAATGAGGAGACGAGTGTACGATGTACAAAGAGCGAGGAACGAGATGGAATGGCAAAAGTATAAGGTGAAGATCATACCAAGAATATTAATTTTTTAGTCTCATAGCGTATTTGCGCGGTGAAAGCGTGGGACATTTCGGTGAATCACTTTCTGTCTCACTAGATATCCCTAAAGTATTTATGTAATAGGGTTTACCATGCAAGCCACCCTGAACAAGTTCCTGGATTATCTTAGAACTTACAGATTGAATTATTACGTTTATTTGAGCCTAGATTTAGATGTTCTGAGAGATAGATCTTTTCTAATAGTTTTAAGGTGTCTTTCTGAGCTAAAACTATCAATGCTGGGGTTCACAAACGCTGCAATTCTTGTTCTTGTTGCACGTTCACGATACGGCGATGTCCCGCACTTTTGACAATCTAATACCTATATAAAAATGTATGTTTGTTTGTTTGTTCGTATTTTATACCATACCTAACGTTCATCAGAATGCGATGACACTTTGTCAGCTTATTGCTTGCACTTGTGCAAAGGTTAGAGGCATAGTACAGTACCATTAATTTACAGTAGGTGGCGCGCGTATCGTATCATTATCCTATAATTTAACTTCAATGAATGTACTATCATTTCTAATTAAACTATATAGCTCTTCTAAATTTAAAACAATAAATCCACAATTATTTCTTCTGAGGCAGCAACGCGGCGGGTACCATATCTAGTGGTATATAAATTTTTAAATGACAGTAGTTCTGGAGAGTTATAAATCCAATGCAGTAGCTATTGAATATCAGCTCCAGTCTGAAAGGAAGGCTTGGTGGAGCGTTTGAATATCATCTTGCGTTCTTCAAGGCAATCTCCAATTGGAGTATTAGTATCTTAGCGCGTATTATAAACACCTCCAATACTCAACGTATCTCACCAGCGCCGTACGCACTCCGTGCATATTGACTCAAACTTGAGAGGAAAGTTGGAATGCTTTTATAAGTACCATATTTTTCTCTCCTTTAATTCCCTATCAGTATTATATTAGGGTATTCGCGAACCATAGTTGTCACTTAATAGCAAGTGGATTGCGAAATAACTCGTCACTATAATACCGATCGTTTAAGTTGCATTTTTTTAATAGAATAAAGTTGACAAACGAGCACACAGTTCACCTGATGGTAAGTGGATGACGTGACCCATAGACAGACATCTACATCTATCCTCAATTACGAATTAAAATGCAGATGCGTTGTCACCCGTGAGGACTAAGATGGAATGCCTCTTTTCCAGTAAAAAGGGTCTCCGGTTCTCTACACTCACCATACGAAACACAGCAGAGTTGAGTGACTTTTTAGGCTGGTATTCTGTGAGAGCGTGGTCCTTCCCCGGTCGAGCCAACCCATTCGTGCTACAACTATACTACTTATACAGCTTTAAGCATATATATTATACAGCGTAAAAATACACTCACCATACGAAACACAGCATCATTAAGCTGCTATTTTACGCTGGTATTCCGCGAGAGTGCGGTCCTATCTCGATCGAGCCGACCCATCTATGCCACAACCATAATATAGCTGCAGTGTACCACGTATAATTATTCTAAATTTATTATTTTAGTTGGAAACAAATCTGGAAAAGGTAGACAGAGAGATAGAGGCTCTGCGAGCAGCTGTTGCTGACAAAATAAATCCGACCAAACTGGTAGAAACTAGACTGGAAATACGTACTAGAAGACCTGTTTTAGAAAGAGTTCAGGTTTGTTTTGCTAAAACTGTAATCATCAATATTATAATTCAATATTTTTTATGAACTTTCTTGTTTTTTTTTTGTTCAAAAAGGATAAACCGATGCGCGGTTTAATTGAAGAATACGAAAGAGTTCATATGAGCATGAGCATGTTGGAGAAAAAACTAAATGATGCTTTGTAAGTAAAGTTCTAAATATGTCTCAAAATAGTTTCATATATTTTTTAATTTTTTTTCTTAAATTTTCTCAGGAACACATACCACGGAATGTATAATCATTATCAGCGTGTTATTAAGGATTTGGAGTACAAAAACCAGGCACTTGAAACGGATAGACGGCTCATAGAAATCCGGAAACCTTTGCATGGGCCTGACGAAACCAACTTTACGAGAAACGTGGGTTACTGCCACATGGCCGATGAATTGGTGTCGGAGTAATTTATAAGCGAAATATAAGAAAAGCTATTAGTTAACATTTTAATATTTAACTAAGTGACTAACGTTAACGAACCCTCTTGAGAGATAATTAAAAAGATGAATTAAGATGTAAGTTTAGATTAACACGAAAATGACGATATAATCACTAAAACCCGGTCGCCAAGCACGAATAATTTCGTACCATGACCTTTGTGTCTGTCTGTCAGTTAGTTGTACGTGTGAAAAATCAGCTCTGAAAAGAGCTGTATTGTCCATAACCCATCCATATCGAAGCCAATCATGGGAGCAGATTTTGTGAAACATACCTACGTATCTCAAGTTTTTCGCCAACCGAACGTTTTCAAATACAATACTGCAGCGCGCGCGCGTACAAACTCCAAGCGACTGAACGAGACAATGAACTACAAAAGCGAGACGGCTATGGTCAATCCTTATTGAATAAATATATCGGAAACGACAACAGGGAGATCCCACTTCTGATGTCGGTGAATTACAACAGAGGATTGCAATTTTGATCTCGGAAATACATCAGGATAGCGTTAACTGTTAAAAATAATAAAAGTGTGAGAGCGGATGTTCAACTTGCTCTCTTGCTTACGCAGTTTAATCATTATCAGTAATAAGACAACGTAACGCACTATACATTCAGTATAGTGAAATTACAGTTCGACCACACCGTAATACGTCTCAGCCACAATCACACACCAGTGTAACGTGGGGTACGTAATTACATGATAACACCAAAATATGTACAGCAACAGCAACACTACTTATCTCAATGTAACACAGGGCAGCCTCTCAGCAACACCAATCCTCCTTGCCTGCACTAGAAGAATTACCACAACGAACAGAACCACGACAATATCTTAGCACTAGTCGAATGACCACACCCGTTGAATGACTTGAGCGGAATCTCTCGCGCACGGCACCTACAGTGAACTTTATAATACAGACACAAGAGGGGGTTTCTCGATATACCCTCCCCTCTACCTCGGTCCAACCGGGTATTTTATAGACGCTCCGACACGGCCATCCTGACGTACGACCGTCCTCGGGCGTGTATTTTCATGCATTCCTGTAACAAAAACTATTAGTCCACCAATTCGTCCGCTCGTCCGTCCTCACACGAGCAGGTACATATTCTTAGTTCGCAAAACTAATTGCTAGATAGCGCTGCTTTTTGCGCTATGGCGCCATCAATCCATGACACGGCCATTCCTGCCTAGCACCTGTTCTCGGTTGCAGTGCCTGTGGACAAAAATATGCACAGAGTAATCTAGCTCGGCTATCCTGCCAATCAAAACAAGATCGATTCCAAATGGTACTTTACTTCTCCTAAGTCTAAGTACAATAGTCAACTGTCATAATTGACAATGCCTTGTATTAAGGCTTCTTACACAGTGCTTCCTGCACAACATGATTTATCGTGGAAGGTCCGATCAATAAGTTCCAACACAGTAATTTTAACATATTTTTACTCTTTACAATTCATAAGCAATGCATATTCAACTCGTGAAACTTTCATTGAAATCTGTGCACCAACACAGACCAGAATAGCACCAACGATTCTTTACATATCCGCCGTCACATATGCCAGAATCGCACCAACGATTCTCCACATATCTGCCGTCATATATGCTACAATACACAAGAGGCTCTGTGCACCAACACAGGCCAGAATCGCACCAACGATTCTTTACATATCTGCCGTTACATATGCCAGAATCGCACCAACGATTCTCCACATATCCACCGCCAAATATGCTACAACACATCTGCCGCCACATATGCCAGAATCGCACCAACGATTCCCTACATATCTGCCGCCAAATATGCACCAACACAGACAGAAATCGCACCAACGATTTCCTACAGACCCATCGCCACATGTTACTCATGAGGTGCGGTCTAAAGTTTTGAGTATGAGTATACAAGCATTCTTAATCAAATTTGGTTTCACTACCACTGTCATCAACTATGACATCTAACTCTCGAGGAACTTGGTGATCGAAAATCTTCCTCACATGATCATGGGGGTATTTGTGGGGTACTTTGCATACTAAAATAACCGATTTCGGTTAAATTTGCAATATTACTCGTATTTACACATTTGCCACCAAAATTTGGCGCAACACAATCTTTGATGAGGCTCTCTCATTCGGCACCAGAATCATAATAAAATGGGTACGACTCACCAGTATTATCATCAGCACACCGCTGGGTTTGCTCACATAGTAAACATCAACACGTCGCTCACTGCTCGCTTCTGCGGCAGGCAGTAAGGCAAACGCACGTGGCTATTAAAACAAACCAGCACACGCCATAGTTAGCTGCCTTGAAGCAAGCTCATGTGGTCAAAACAACAGCACAGGGCGTGCCGCACTCACACAGCGAGCCGTCGCATTTCGCCAGCGCCAGCGAAACGCTGCACCGTACCACGCACTCCAAAGCGTCAACGGGAACAGCAGTAGCACCTGAGGGTTTACAGGCATCGTCGAGGTTGCAGTCATCGTGATCTGCGTGAAAAACAAGTTGTTAATTATCAGGACAACATACACAGTTGCCTATCCTCTCATCCATCACGCATACGAGGCCCTCAAACAGAAATACGCTTTCATACCGTGGACTATAAGAAAGCACTTCGCTTTCACAAGTAAACATAGGTCTTCATACGAAGTATCTGACACATACTCTTACTTGAACTTGCGATATCCCACGTTAACTACGTGAACCACATTAAAAACGTGAACCAGGATAGCGCCTGCCAGGACAGACCCTGACGCATGTTCAGAGAACACGATTTCCGCGCATACAGAGTATAAGACTTCCGCGTACACAGTGTACGACTTCGGCGCACACATAGTGTAAGACTTCAGAGGCACGGCCGGGACGGCGCCTGCGTATACGCGCTGCCGAAACCAGGTCATGTTATAACTGGACCCGGCAGTCCGTTCCGACTAGGCAAGGCACAAACTCGCCTCACAGTCACATCACACGTGCTGCTGTAACATAAAAGAAAACACTACAGAGATTCAGTCTGAACTTAATTTTAAAAAATGCAGTACAACTCTCGGGACACCATTTGCCTTTCCAGGGCACCATATACTGAGCTGCGGCTACACGACAACCTCTGGTATGGTCCGATCCTCATGTAAATTTAAATACTCTCTTCAATGTCAGAACTAATTTGCTCTACTTAACTTTCATCAGTTATACTTTGGTTTTCCGGCATTTTTCCCAACCAATTAAAAATGTAAACACTTATTCTTACAAAATATTTTTTAAGATAATGTTAGGAATAGATTTGCTCTCCTCATGTATCAAATGGTGATCGGTAGCAGCGGCAAATAACGTGGTCGCGGCGTCATAAGCCGACAGCATATTTCCACTCAAGAGCGAGCGCCACAGCACCACGCGTTCCACTAAACCCTCAACTTCAAATCCCAATTTTATCGACTACGTAATATTCGCAGTAAACTGTAACACTTATCAACACATTAGAATACAGAAATACAACTTAGCGTTTTTAATTAATAGCACGTTAAAGTTAAACATTTTTTCGGTACATCGTTTAAACATTTTGAATTTTAAAACTAGCCCATGTAAATCACACCTCGTGTATCAAATTATAACATAACTTGAGCAAGTTAAACCTCCACTGAATGCAAACTATAACTCGTTTAGAATACCTTCAACATTTCTTTCGACTTAAGAAATAATGAAAGTACTTGCGGGTACTTTTTATTATAAACCGAACAAAAAGATTTAACTTTTGGCTTAAAACATTTAACTTTAAACTTTTAATCTACATTTTAATGATTTGTCAGTGTCGTAAATATGACAACAAACTTGATTTAAGAAATTAAACACAAAAACAAAACGCGAGGCGTATCATAGTATTTATCATATTATCATAGTATTACCAACGTAATAACCTTCACACTATTCTAAGTTTATAGGTGGGCAGTAACAGGGACTTTATCCCACTTCTGATATCGGAAACGACAACAGGGAGATCCCACTTCTGATGTCGGTGAATTACAACAGAGGATTGCAATTTTGATCTCGGAAATACATCAGGATAGCGTTAACTGTTAAAAATAATAAAAGTGTGAGAGCGGATGTTCAACTTGCTCTCTTGCTTACGCAGTTTAATCATTATCAGTAATAAGACAACGTAACGCACTATACATTCAGTATAGTGAAATTACAGTTCGACCACACCGTAATACGTCTCAGCCACAATCACACACCAGTGTAACGTGGGGTACGTAATTACATGATAACACCAAAATATGTACAGCAACAGCAACACTACTTATCTCAATGTAACACAGGGCAGCCTCTCAGCAACACCAATCCTCCTTGCCTGCACTAGAAGAATTACCACAACGAACAGAACCACGACAATATCTTAGCACTAGTCGAATGACCACACCCGTTGAATGACTTGAGCGGAATCTCTCGCGCACGGCACCTACAGTGAACTTTATAATACAGACACAAGAGGGGGTTTCTCGATATACCCTCCCCTCTACCTCGGTCCAACCGGGTATTTTATAGACGCTCCGACAAATATTATATTGTAGTTTTGGCGGGAATTTGATCGGCGACGGATTGCTGCTCCTGTTATTTTTCTTTTTACTTATTATAAGCCAGTGCTTGACCACAATCCCACCTGGTGGTAAGTGGTGATGCAGCCTTAGATGGTAAATTGCACTGTCTTAACGTAACAAAAGTCTCTTGCCTTGAAGATGCTCAGATTATGTTTGGACGGAAAGATAGACGCCGGCAAATTATTCCACTCCTTTGCTGTACGCATTTCAAAAGACGAAGCAAACCGTTTGGTTCTAATGCGTGGATACTTGACAACAAAGGAGTGAAGACCCGCCGACCGCCTCGTTGTCCGATGTTGGAAAGGAGAGGGAGGAATTAAAGCATGTAATTCCTGCGCACACTCACCGAAATGCATCCTATAGAATACTGAGAGGCTGGCTACCCTGCGCCTGCGCTCGAGGCTGACAAGATTGGTTTCAACCAAATCAAAGTCACCAATGAGCCTCTTAGCACGTCTCTCCACTGAGTCCAACGCTGCCAGGTGGTATTTTGCAGCACCAGCCCATATGTGCACGACCGGATTTGCACTTTATATAAGGTAAGAAGCTGCCCCGGCTTGAAGTACCGCTGCACCCTGCAAGGATACCAAATTTGCTTGCGGCTGCTTTGGCTCTGGACTCAATGAACCGCCCATATTTGACGTTCGGAGAAAATTTAACCCCTAACAACTGAAGGCAACCAGTGTACTTCAAGAATACATTGCGGAAAGTGGGAGTCAGGGTGAGCGGGTTCCTTTTAGCGATGAAAAGACACGCTTGTGTTTTGGAGGCGTTGAATCTCATGAGATTGGCATCACCCCATTCGGAGGTTGCTTGTAGTGTGAAATTCAAACGCTTAACCACAGCTTCTTTTTCGAACTGGATTTGATCCCGACTGGTCCGGACACTTGGTATCTCTCCACAACTATGCTGTCTTCTGCATACTCATAGATACCGGGATTGAGCAGATAATTTATATGCAGCAAGAAGAGAGTTGCGGAGAGAACGAACCCCTGAGGAACACCGGCGTTAGTCGCCACAGGATCGGATGACGACCCGGAGAGACTGTTCACTCAGGGGATAAGCCGTACGCTGAAAGCTTGCCTAATAGACTAGCGTGCCAAACCCTGTCAAAGGTCTTCGAAACATCGACGTAAACAGCAAGTGCTTCACTACTGTTCTCGAGGGCTTCGCTCCATATTATGTAAGTGGCATACGCTAGAAGGTCCCCAGCTGATCGTTTTCGGCGAAACTCGTACTGGCGTTCACTGAGGATATCATTCTGCTCTAGGTATGCCATGAGGTGGGCGTTCAATATACGGTCCATAATCTTGCAGAGTATGGAGGTAATTGAAATTGGTCGATAGTTGGCAGGGTCGGTACGGCTAATTTTTTTAGGCACAGGCTGCATATTGCCCAGCTTCCAAGATTTGGCACTAATCCAGTTCTGAATTAGAGGCGGAACAAGCGTGTCAACACAGGAGACAACACAGGTGCACAGACCTTTAGAACTACATCAGGTCCACTAACTTTGTTCACGTCTCGACTTCGCAAGGTTTTAAGTACCTCCTTGTTGGTGATACGGACCTCTGACATAGAGGTATTGCAGTGAGGTAATTGAGATGGTACGTTGTTAATACGGTCCAGACGCAAATTGCAAACAAAAGGAGAAGCAAAAAAGTCCAGCTTTTCCTTAGGTGCATGCGTCAGTGAGCCATCTGGTTTTACCAGCGGAGGCAGTGTAGACGAACAGAAGTTTGTCTCAACCGCTTTGGCGAGAGACCAAAAAGCTCTACTGCCAGATGGTTTGACAGAGCTTTTCACCGATGCGTTTAATGTAGTCGAAACTGACTACATTAAACGCATCAGTAGCAGGACTCGGGGGCTTGGTTAAAGGCTCCCTTCTTAAGGCTGACATTCGGAGCTTTGCGGTCTCGAGCATCGACCCAGGATAAGTACGCCATATGCTTGTGCTTTTCAGCACGAGCGCACTCGGCGTTGAACCATTGACGAGCTTTACCACCAATGGACACGTCAGCAAAGGGGATGAAATACTTCATCGCTTGACGTATCACATCGGTAATGGCATCCGCGCAGCTCGACGGATCTTCAGATGAAAAGCAGACCTGCCGCCAAGCTAAATAGGAGGATAGGTTGAGAGAATGGTAGTCGGATGAGGCGTCACACATATAATCTAGGGACACAAACAGGGTCACAGCACCGATGGTACCTAGCTGGAAATCGCCACTAGGCCCTCTCCCCCGGTCTGTGGAGCCATCCCAGGTGTTTTCGAGTGGCTTTGGGTGGCTGGTTCATTAATTGTGCCCCCAACTATCTACGTTCGGCCAACGGTGCAACCGTGCTTCGGATCCCGCTAACCTCCATAACCAGGTCTAACGTCTAAGGTCACGACCGATTCTGCAACGCAACTGTCCACACTCATTTTTCCTAAGAAATGCTTTTCACCTAACATCATACCAGAACACGACACGACGAAGACATACCGCCAAATGATCCACATTTGGCGGTATGTCTTCGCCAGGTGGGTGGAAACTAACCCTCGGCCGAGTCTCTCACTAGTAGAAGACCAATCTACCACCAGTATGTAGTGTTGCTCGTTTAGGTACTTGAATCCTGACTCTACACGTACCCCCTGGGTAGCTTAGTGCCTTGAAATACAATCGTTATCGACTGTCTGCTGTCTCGAGCTGCCGTTAAAATCTTTTAAGAACTTCACAACGTGACGCATCAACATATTGTGAAGAAGTTTTGAAACAAATTATTATAAAGGATAATCTCTTAATTTACTTGACACTGCCAAAATTACAACCGTGCGAGTCCATTACCAAAGAAGAAACGAGGCATTCCATCTTAATCCTCACGGGTGACAACACATCTGCATTTTGATTCGTAATCGAAGATAGATGTATGTAAATGTCTATGGGCCACAGTGACCACTGACCAGTGACCATCAGGTGCTTTGTCACCCTTATCCTATAAAAAAAAAACTAAGGCTCTAAAAACGGGACGTCTGACGTCCTTGCACTTGCAGAACTGTTGGCAAGCCTACATATAAGCTCATTTCTCTTTTTTATGCAATAAAAAAAACGATTATTATACTAAAAATACTTTATTGCAAATAAAATTCACATCATACTGACAAAATTCCTTAAATTATGGAAACGATAATGTATATATACATTGTGACTGCGTTTATAGTCAGATTCTAATACATTAATGTATTTATGTAGTTCTGTGCTATAGTAATATTTAGTATGTTTTATGTATCCATTGTATGTACAAAATTTGGATTCACGGAAACCTGATATACATATAAAGTGAACAATAAAAAAATTGAACATATAAAGTGAATCTGAAACTGCAACAAATGTGTGTAAGTTATATTTCATTAGGATATCACTTGGAGGTATTTATAAAATGCAAAAGGTATTTATATAATAAACTAAATTATAAACAAACTTTTACTTCTATACTTAAAATGATATATTTTTGGTATTAAAAACATTATAGTAAAACTATATAAACATTTCAAATACATAATAAAATACAAAATTTATTAACAATTAATATTAAATTATTGTGAATTCTGGTAAAAAATAAACAATGATAAAAATGTAACACCTACATTCAATTTATTATCAAATTATATAAATACATTTCTAAATTAAACTACATAAACAATAGAATTTTTTTGCTCAAAACATTATTACTTAAAACCTAGATAAGTTAAAAAAGGAATGATAGAAATAATCTGATTAGAAACATTGTTCTATGTGTACAAAATAAATAAATAAAAACCATAGACTATTTAAATATTTTTATTTGGCGGGAAATAGAGAAAAACCGATTTATTGTTTGGATCTCAGATATATCTTCGTAAAATCTATCGTATAGTCTTCGTAAAGTCTATCGTGTATCTAACTCAGGTGTTACATTTTCATACGCCTGGTCTAATAATGTGCAAATCATTGATATATTCTCATCGTTCAACTTCCTGCTAGATGCCAATCGAATGGAAGGTTCCGGACAGTTGATTTCAGCATCCCTTAAATACGTTGCAACTGAAAAAGCGACCCCTTCTTTCATGCAGTAGTTGGCGATATGTTTTAGGTACGAGTGTTTGTTACGGTCCGTGAGGTCTGGTCTCTTCAAGTAAATATGCTTTACGGGTGAAACCTCATCCCCACGGAATGTGAAATGTCTTAGTTGCGACAAAGCTCTGGAATAAAATATATTGATCATTTTCAATATTTAAAGAGTTTTAAACTGACTTTAGAATCTTAATTTTGGTAGGTCCCAGCTTTACGAGGAAATTAAGCAATGCGTTTGATAGTTTTCTACTAGCTAATCATTTCAATGTTTGCGAGCAAATAGTATTTGATCCCCGCAATGAATGAATTATAAATACTGATTTACCAAGCACAAAAAATGTGAAACAGACCAGTGACGGCTCCGGGGTGCAGTGGCTTAGCAATGAGATGCAGCGCTAAGGGCCACGGGTTCAAATCCCGCACGGAAAAAGTATTTGTATGACCTACAAATACTTGTTCTGGGTCTGTTCTATGTATGTAAACTACTCCCGTTTTTTTAAAAACAAGGGAAGAGAAACAAGTAATGAAATCAAACATTTTGTACAACCGACTTCAATTTTAATACGCATTATAATACGTATTACTAAGGATAACTCCAAAACTATTGGTCAGACCTTGATCAAATTTATATGGGACCACATGAAAAGCACCGGCTTTCAAATAAAAAAAAAGAATCATCGAAATCGGTTCACGTGGAAAAAGTTATGAGGTAACACATATAAAAAATAACATACAGTCGAAATGAGTACCTCCTCCTTTTGAAGTCGGTAGAAAAATAACTTGATTTACTTTAAATAATATTAAACAACATTATGTGTCTTCGTACGTCTTACACCATCTTACACGATCGTCATACGTCCACTCTCTCTCACTCGCTCATCTTTCAGTCTCTATATTTCGCTCTTATTTTTATTTTTTTTATACGTTCAAAAACATTCCCACAATTATATCCTTTTAGATAAAACTAGTGTTTACGGATTTTATAGCATAAATTAACTTATTTTATATTCCTGACATTTCGAACACTTCACAGCACCCATGGTGATGGCTTGTACAGGCTCAGGAGAACTATTGCCACTGTATATAGTTTATAAGGCTTGACACCTTTATAACACATGGTTCGAGAACGGCCCAGAGGGTCCAAGGTACAATCGATCTAAATCCGGATGGTTTGACGGTGACATTTTCAAGAACTGGATCGAAACGACAGTCATATCTTTTTTGGAAAACAAGGAAGGAAAAAAATAATGCAAAAACACGATTAACTCATGTACTGAAGTATCAGTACATGAGTTAATCGTGTTTTTGCATACATTAAAACGATTTAAATTACGGTTATAAAATTAATAATCGACGCACTAAAACGTTTTTTATGAATACTCGAGCGAAAAAACATGACATTGGATTGCATCGTTCGTTTAGTTGTATTAAACGTGATTGCTATCATGAATTGTCGTCCCGTCGGACTATGAAAGCGCGGGAAGTTTTGTGGTTTATCAAAACTGATGTAATGGCAGGGACGATTTTGAACATGTTCACAGACTGCAGACTATCCGGAGCGCCAGTGCTTCACGTAACATCAAGCAACTTCAAGGGAAGACTATCATCTATTAAGAATTAATATGCAAATGAGTTGTCTCTCCCGAGGGCTAAGATGGAATGCCTCATTACCAGTAAAAAGGATCTGGTGTTCTCTCTACGCTTCTTATTATGCGGGTATTGGCGAAATCCACTCAAGACGTGTACTTACTTATTTAGCTTTCTAGAGTTATCGTCCAATTCCTTGAGTATTTCTGGTTTCTGCTCCAGGATGTCGAGCGCTGATATTGCAGCCTGCGTCAACATCGGCGGTAAGGATGCACTGAAACAATAACCTGGGAACATATTGCATAGTTATTAATTCATTTTTCAGTTTTAGAAGCCCACAGCTAGACTTAAGCATCCCCCATATAGGGCTAATAGATCAAAAACCTGACAGCTACGTGTCGCAGTGGCTTAGCAAGAGTTGATGCTCTGATGGGCCGCGGGTTCGAATCCCGCATGGAACAAGTAATTGAATGGCCTACAAATAATTGTTTCGGACCTGGATGTTTATCCCTGTAGAATTTATGTATGTAAATTGCCTGTATGAAAAAATCCTAGTGTGGAAGTAACATTTTTTAAAACAAGAAAACAAAAATGATTTCCTTACAAATTTATTTCTTATAATTATACAATTATATATTACTATTATAATTGAATTAACATATTCACTCATGTCGTTTTCACATAATGTGATGCTTTTAACGTTTTTGGTTACAAAAAAGTTGACCTAATATTCTATACTCTTTTCCTTTCAATAATGCCTGGAAATGTTTTTTCCTGAATTCCTGAGAAAAGGTTTAAATTCCTGTCCTGTCATCTGATAACTCTACCAGGGGTGTCACTTCCACTATGGAAGGTATGGAGCACTCCATACCTCAAGTTTTTCAAGGTATGGAATTCCATAGCTGAAATTAGGAAATAAATCGCATATTACTACAAACCCCATATAAATAAATCGCAAGCCCTTAAACCTCAATACCCCACATCTTATAGTTCAATAAATAAGTTGAGTATATACACTGCAAACTCTTAAACCTTAATACCCCACGAGTAATGCGAACAAATTTGAAAATCGCGCCACCATTTTCCATACCTCAGATTTTTACAAAGTGACACGCCTGAACTCTACCCCCATAGATTGTTTGAAACGGGGACATTTGCCATAGTGGTTACGCTTGGCAGGTGGGATAGCAACCGCACTTCTGTAATATTATTTTGTTGTAATCAGGAAGATGTTGGTGCTCATCTCCTGTTTTTACTTCCCTATGTCGCTTTTGTACAACACTCGCGGGATGATGTGGGGTAGAGGTTATTACTACGCCACCACTATACGCCAACAATTTATGATATAGCTGATACATACACATAATAAATATAAATAAGATATAATACAAAATATATAAATAAAAATATTATAGTTATATTCAGTTAAACGAACCAATAAAAAACCCGACGTGTTTAACGTCGGGTTTTTTATTGGTTTTCCCAGAACAGAGGTATTTTCTGATCCAGTAGTAAATAAAAGAAATGACTATAAATAACTAATACATCTAATATATAATAAATAAATAACTAATATATAATAAATGAATAACTAATATATCTATTTTGGGCAAGACGACTTTCCGTCACGGCAGCTGAATTAAGCAAATGGCGCAAATATGTGTCGCTGAGAGATGACTAGATATTTGTGCTATTTCCTGTAGCCTTTTTACGTGGTAGAGCTATGCTGCAGCTACATTACTGGTATAGTTGTAGCACAAATGTGTCCGCTCGACCGGGGAAGGACCACACTCTCACAGAATACCAGCGTAAAATAGCAGCTTAATGTTGCTGTGTTTCGTATGGTGAGTGTAGAGAACCGGAGACCCTTTTTACTGGATAGAGGCATTCCATCTTAGTACTTACGAGTGACAACGCATCTGCATATTGAATCGTAATCGAGGATAGATAGATAGATATTGCTTTTACTTCGGAACTTTGACAGCGTGATTTAGGCTTCGATGTATTTTCGCGACGACAGCAGCGCCGCCACAACTGTATGACAATTTAAATTTTTTGGTTTTTCTTTATTATCGTCTTTTAATATTGTGTGATACGTTAGATACAAAATAGATCAGCGAAGAAGGGCAGCAGAGTCAATGGTGGGAGACATCTGGCCAATCGCTTCAGAATATCGATGTAAATCCGCCTGTTAGGCTTGACGATTAAGGCATAATTTCACCCTCGTGTCTCATCTGATCTCTTTCAGGTCGTTTTGGTTTGCAGTCACATCGGACTATAGGACTATTCACTCACAGCCCGGAAGTTCGCGGTGACTCACCTCGGAAAACACGTAAAGCCGTTGGTCCTGCGCCTGATCTCTCTCCGGTCGTGTCGGAATGCCGACTATGCGAGTAAGGGACTAGAGAGTGCACGTGTGCTTGAGTAAACACTTTTCAACAAAATTACACAATAAAATTATAATTTCTTCCTACGCAGATTGTTAGTCTCCGCTGAGACTGGCCACCGTCACCGAAATTCGGTATAGAGTACATTATTGTGTATTATGACATTATGAGTAGATTAAAACAGCTCTTTATTTTCCTCCTTCTGTTGCAAGAGAACTAACTTTGACACGATTTTGAAAAGTAAGTCGCTGGCTTACACTGTTGCTACTGAAAAAAAAAAACATGGTATATAAGAACTTACCAAGACCAGACAGCCTTTGATGTTCAACAATGAAATGTGTGCCAGCACAGAAGCCTCCGATAGTCGCGAACGAGTGCTCCAGTGAGCCGACGATTAGATCGATTTCATCCCTCGGGATTTTAAGGTGCTCAGTTATACCGCGCCCATGTTTGCCAAGCACCTGGAAGGAAAATTTTGTTTAAAACAACAGAGTAACCGACATAACCCAACGGATCAGTAAGCTGAAGTGGCAAGGGGCCGGCCATATAGCACGGAGAACCGATGGGGATGAAAGGTTCTCGAGTGGCAGCCTCGTACCGGTAGTCGAAGTGTAGGGCGTCCCGCCACTAGATGGTACGAAGTGGTAAGACATGCAGGAAGTCGATGGATGCAGTTGGCTCAGGACCGTGCTTTGTGGCATTCCTTGAGGGAGGCCTATGTTAAGCAGCGGCCTTGTAATATATGTATAACGATTAACTAAAACATAAGGCAATTGAGAGCTAGGTTAGTTATAATTACGAACCACTTATTCCATTCTAGTCGTTCAGAGGTGATAACGCATCTGTAACTTTCTTTGTTTGAAGTTGGATAGTAAGTGTTCATGAGCTGCAGTAGCCACTTACCATCGGGTGGACTGTAAGTTCGTTTATTTATTTATTTATTCTTTATTGTACTAAATATTTGTACAAAAGGCGAGTTTAATGTTATATGGCATTCTCCACCAGCTAACCTTGGGTAGGACAGAGAGTGAGTTTTGGCAGTTAAGTGGTCATGATATAATTCAGTTCAAATATATACATGCATATAAAGGATGTGGCGTAATGAATGGATAATATGGTACCTGCGGGTAGAGGACGTTGTGACGGTTCTGAAAAATATGTTTCATGTTTAGTAAAAGTCCCTCGGTTTTCGAGATAATTCGACATTTTCGAAAATTCAAAAAAATTATAGTCTTTGCCACTCTTTTTCGTGGTTAGACTCCAAATGAAGGAATTCTTTCAATCTATTTTTTGGATAATATTCCCGGATAGAAGCGCTATCGAATGTAAATTATGATTTTGGGGGCGCCAGCATAGTTTTTTTAAACAAAGATCTAACTCAAATTTCTTGATTTGCTTATTTTTTATCCTAAGTTTAACCTAACGTGGTGTAAAAAAAGACATGGTCACCTGAGTGCCAAATTAAGAAAAAACTGTTTCATTGAGATTCCGAAATGGTATAACTCACTGTATTTTCAGCATTTAATACAAAATAAAGTCCTATTACAATGAGTTAAAGGCCTAGTTTAATGTAAACCTTGTTTTTAAAATTGTTTGGAACAACGGCCTGCATAGCCCATTGAATTTCCAGAAACGAGCCCACTGCCAGGTAGGGAATATAATTCTTGGAATAGATCGGTTACTTACACTAGCGACAATAAACCAACGGTACATCTATCCTGCTTTAATGCATGCTCTACAGTCTACACCTTTTAATGAATGATCGCTTTATTCTGCTTGCATGTCTCATTTCAGTAATTTTTTGTGCAGCCATTTGCACACACTCCCGTAGCTGGTCCACTGAGGTAATAGGATCTTTGTAGACCTTCTCTATGAGGCATCTCCAGTAAAAAATGTCGAGTGGGTTAAGGTCCGAAGATCATGAGGGCTACAAAATTGTCCCTAATCGCCCGATCCATCTTCTGGGATATATTTCGTCGAGATAGTCTCGAACGCTATGGGCGTAATGGGCGGGGCAACCATCGTGCTGCACCACATTCTTCTTCTCTCTTCTAACGAAACGTTTTCCAATAAAGTGGGGAGATCATGTCTTAAAAAATGCAAATAGCTCTCTGCGGTCAATATTCCTGGTAATTTGAATGGACCGATGATGTTGGCGTTTAGGATCCCAGTCTAAAGGTTTATTTTAAATTGATACTGGGAACCGTCTTCTCTCACCAAATTAGGGTTGGTTAGCTGCCAACTGTGCAGATTGTGCATATTAAAATATCCGCCTTTTTTGCACGTGGACTCGTCGCTCCACAGAATTTTATCGAAGAATTCGGGATCCTTGTTCAATTTTCCTAGCATGTTTTCGCAGAATTCAACTCTTGCAGGATAGTCTCTTGGCAGCAAACATTGAACGCGCTGATAATGAAATGGGTGTAAATTCTCTCGTTTTAATATCCTATGCACTATTCTAGCCGATATGCCTGTGTGCAAATCAAGTCCGAAGTCACAGCACAAAGTCGTTACACCATATTAAAAAGTCCAAATCGATAGGCAAAATCACGTCCAAGATCACAAGAGCACAAATCAATGAATTTCAATCCAAAGCAGGGTAAGACGATGTTGCACAGGAGTAGTATGATAGCACACTGACTTAAAAATGCGCTTAGCCCACAAACCACAAATATGAAAAGGATATGTGTTACACAAGTGGATCACTAATTCATCTTTCATTTTCACTCATGGCATGAAAGAGCAGGATAGATGTACCGTCGGTTTATTGTCGCTAGTGTAAGTAACCGATCTATTCCAAGAATTATATTCTCTACCTGGCAGTGAGCTCGTTTCTGCAAATTCAATGGGCTATGCAGGCCGTTGTTTCAAACAATTTTTAAAACAATGTTTACATTAAACTAGGCCTTTAACTCATTGTAATAGGAATTTATTTTGTATTAAATGCTGGAAACACAGTGAGTTATACCATTTCGGAATCTCAATGAAACAGGCATGTTTTTTCTTAATTTGGCACTCAGGTGGCCATGTTTTTTTTTACACCACGTTAGGTTAAACTTAGGATAAAAAATAAGCAAATCAAGAAATTTGAGTTAGATCTTTGTTTAAAGAAAACAATGCTTGCGCCCCTAAAATCATAGTTTACATTCGATAGCGCTTCTATCCAGGAATACTATCAAAAGAATAGATTAAAAAAATTCCATCATTTGGAGTCTTGCGACAAAAAAGAGTGGCAAAGGCTGTTATCTTTTTGAATTTTCGAAAATGTCAAATTATCTCGAAAACCGAGGGACTTTTACTAAACATGAAACATATTTTTCTGAACCGCCACAACGTCCTCTACCCGCAGGTACCATATTATCCATTCATTACGCCACAACCTGTATACATACATTTATCATTTCACCATAATCATCATCATCATTATATAAAAAATTGACTTTCAATAAGTATTATGTAATAATCTATATTGAATGAAATATAATGTATTCCACTTTATTCTATTCCATTCTAAAGAATTAGTGTAGCACCTGCAATCACACACACACACACATGCACATACAGTTTCATACATTTTGGATAATATGAAAATATTTTTTTTTTCTCTAAATACCTCAAGTGTATACGAAATAAATATTAAATATTTAACGTGTTAAGATATAAAAGCAATATGTTTATGTTCAAATTTAGTCGGATGTTTCAGTTCAAATAGCATAGATTAACCGCGCGTAGTGCTAAAAGGAATAATTAAGTTTTTTTTTAATTCAACAAATATAGGTGCAAATGTATTAAATTTATTATTATGATTATTATGATATGGCCTTAACGGAATTTAATACTTGAAGGAATTCTATTTTATATTTTTGGCGGGCGGTCAGAGTAATGTTTTTATTTCTGAAAAAAAAAAAACTGCATTTTACAGTTTTGTATAGTGCGGTAGTGTTATTTGGCGGTAGTTTTTATACTAGCGATCCGATTCGTACGGGTGATTTGTGGTTCTTGACAACTACGCCACGTACCGGGTCCAACTGTGATTTTTTTATAGGTTAAGGGTGACAAACGAGCACACAGTCCACCTGATGGTAAGTGGTTGCTGCGGCCCATAGACATCTACATCTATCCTCCATTATAAATCAAAATGCAGATGCGTTGTCACCCGTGAGGACTAAGATGGAAACACAGTAGTGTTAAGCTGCTATTTTACGCTGGTATTCTGTGAGAGCGTGGTCCTTTCCCGGTCGAGCCGATCCATTCGTGCTACAACTATACTAGTAATATAGCTGCAGCATGGCTCTACTACGTAAATTAATAAATCTAAACCATTTTAAAATCACCTAAATCACACATACAAAATTTCACCAAAATCGAACAAGAATTATAATATATAAGTATAGAGGATTACCAAAAACATCATCACGCAGTATCGATAATAATGAAAGAGAAAAATTATGCATATCTATATGGATTCCAACCCTATGGTGTCGTTGTAAGCGGTGACAGAGGGAAACAAATCAGGAGATGGGCAGCAGCGTTTGCCTAATAACGACAAAAAAAAACATGCGTGAGTGTCGTGGAACACTCGGTTGGAACGAAGTTCCTTTCGTAGTATATTATTATTGATAAACAAAACAAATAAATGAATTACTAGCGTCTATTAAAATGAAGCGTCATTTAAAATAAAATAAATATAATAAGATAAGAAAAAGTGCGAGGGAGATGGATATTATTCCATCTCAGTTCCTTATGGCCTCCAAGGCCGCCTACGTGACGGAAAAATCTTACACTTTTCCTCGCCTAGTCCCCATCCGCCAAATCAAGTAAAGATCGATAAAGAACTTCGTTCCAAAAGCATGTCAACTATGGCAATCCCTGATATGAGGCAATCAACGGAGAGGCCTATTTTCAGCGGTGGACTTTTGTGGATAGGCTGTAATAATGAAATTGAAGGATTCGATGAACATTCAAAACTACATCGTCTATGTAAATATTTTGTTGTTCTTTTTTTAAATACTAGCAATAGTGCTAATAACATTACTTCATTATGCGAACCCACGACCTTTTAAGTTCGCGGTTCGCACCCTGCCATTAGGTTACTGTCAAGAAAAATGATAGGGGTTTGCAGTTGTTCGCGCACCGCGAAAAATCTACTAGATAGATTTCAAATAGGTTTTCTAAGTTTTAGTAAAAAAAAAATATTGTGATATTTTCATTTAATATAAATATAATAATAATAATAATAAAGCTATTAAGGTTTTAAGAAACAACGATTTTTATAGGGGGTTTTTCACACGGTCGACTGTACGTCGCTTGCTCTCGCGTTACCAACCCAGATAATTTATATACTTTAGCTATAAACGGAGCAACGAATAACATCGTTTACAAGGAAATTTTGTCTTTTGATGTTTTTTACTTCGCACATACGAAAACATTGTTAATATATCATAAGCAACGCGGACGAAGT